TGGTGTAGTAGCAATTACAACATTTGACTAGGACAAAGACACAAAACTCATTAGATGATCTTCTGCTGTTACTGCCTCTCATTCAAATCCATCCCCAAGATGGCTGTGAGGATAAAAAAAATATATAGGGGAGATCCATGCATGTTGCCTTGATAGAACTGGAGGAAAAGCAAGTATTTCCAAAAATATATATTCTCACAATCAGATGTGTTTATTAAAGAAATGTTAAGTAGTAGGTAAGTTGTATTGACTTAGAAATAGCTGAAGTTGTCATCTGAGTAGATATTAGGGCACTCTTCCTTTGGCTATAGCTATACACAATATGATGTCTATACATAGATGTCACTTCTTTAGAGAGGGGGATACATGCATTTTGCATATATACTATCCCATCCAACAGTATTTTGCTCTCTGTATACTGTACTTGAAATGAGGCACAATTTGGCAACTACTTCCTGGAATGTGTACCTTCAATGAAACACAGACAGAGACTTGTTGCATATGATGGAGTGCACAAGTGGAAGCAACACAGAAGCAATATCCATGCTGGAAGTGTCTTGCATACTTAAAGCACCAGGACTGATTGCCATCCAAGAGGTGAAGCTTCAGATTGGCTCAGCCACAAGATTCTGCTTCATTGACCTATTTACAGGCCAAGCAAAGCAACTGGATTATGTTGCTGTAATAAAAGACTCTCCAGAGGTAATTTCAGCATCCACTATTCTGTCCAGGAAATTAGATTTTGTTTGGTCATCGCTGTAAGCAATTTCCTGTCCCCATGGCAGGGAAGAGAAATCTTTACAGTCTAGTTCATACACTTGCTTTTCTGGAGAACGTATCTAAGTTCTTGTTGAGTGCTTCACCCAAACATGCCAATACTCTTGCTGGTAGGAACCTCTCTAAAGTGCAACAAAGTACTAAATGTCTGTAGAGTACATGCAATAGTGACCGGGATGTAGGCAAAAATTGCAGCTTTTCTATATTCCCCACTATAGATATATCTAGATCTGCTGAGAACTGTAGTCCAAAGCCCATGGCAAAGCAAAGTAAAAAGCAAAGCATGCTGTTTATATATCACCCCATAACACTTAAAGCACTCTATGGGTGGTTTATAAGTTAATTATGCAGGCTACACATTAAACTCCCCCCCCAGCTGGATACTTATTTTACCAACCTAGGAAGGGTAGAAGGCTGAATCAACCTTGAGCCGGCTACCTGGGATTGAATCCCGGGTCATGAGCACAATTTTAGCTGCAGAACAGCAGTTTAACCACTGCACCATGAGGCTCCAATAGAGGTGTACTTTTCTCTAGACTCATATAAACCCATGGGTACAGGAAACAGAGTAGTTCGAGGAGGCTTAAGGCATATACATTTTCCTTGAACCCTTAATGTTTTAGACCATAATAATGCCTTGACTACAAAGTGTAACTGCCTAATATAGGAAAGGGATTCTGATTATATATCATCATTACAGAACTGTGGAACTGGAAAGGACGCTATGGATCATTAAGTCCAGCCCCTGTCAAGGAGGCACAGTGGGGAATTGAACTCCCAACCTCCAGCTCCACAGCCAGATACCTAAAGTTCTTATCTTTAACATCCTATTATTGCTTTGATGCCTTAAATTAAATTAGACTGTTTGACTGTCCCCAAGTAAATCCAGATGGCTTTGGAAGAAACTGAAGTGACTTTAAACAAAATCAGGAGTCACAAAAGTAGGAAAAATGCAATTATTTACAAAGTCATTAATTTCCAGCAGGAGTGAATACACCGCTTACGAGATGGAGGTGGTGGTGCTCCTGTCCCCTTCCAGAATTACCTGTCATGTTGGAAGGACTCAGAAGTCTGTACAGAAGAACTAACACAGCCCAAAGTCAGAATCAGTGGATGCTGAAGGCATTGGTTTTGATCCCAAATTGAATCAAATTAAGGAAATTCAGGAAAATGATGTTTCACATCTTCCTTTTCCTAATCAAATCCTTTTAAAAAGCTCTTCTTAGGCTCAGAGCCCTTCTAAACAATGTTGAACTGGGCATCAATTTTGGAACAGAGGAAGGAGAAGAGAAGATTTCTTCTATGAACTTCCTTAACTGATCTTAGAATCCAACCATTGAGTCCTAGGTTGACTGGATAGGAGTGTTTACTGGAGCACAATGATTTATACCAGTGATTACATGTGAATAAGTGAAATCATGTAACCCACAGCAGCAAATTGCCTTGGTATGCACCTAGGAATACAAACAGCAACTTGACAGTCAATGGCAATTTCCTGCTGAAAGTTATGCAGTTCCACTTATGCATATAAAAATTGTCAGTAAGATTCTGATCACTGAGTCAGACCATTGGCCCATTGTCAGCAATGACTGATGGCACCTCTATAAACATTCAAACATGATTCTCTCCTAGCACTACCTAGATGGTTTCTCATCCTTGTGCCAACCAGAACTCACTCTGATTAACTTCTGAAATCAAATGGGATCAAGCATGTCCTAAGTGGTAATATGAGAACTTCCAATTCAAATTACTCCTTTGGTATAAATTTACCAGCCCTTCCCTTCCTGAAACTCAGACTACTTTGTTTGAGGAACCCTACTGTAATACCTTATAGGGTTGTTGTAAAATTTGTTCAAATGACTTTGAGAACTAGAACCCCTTATATAACTACTAGTATTGTTGCGATAAACAGTGCAATGGGTGTTTGCTTTGAAGCCGCAGTAAGAGTTAGATGGTTTACAAGACACTTGAGTGCACACACTCTGTTCCTAGTAATATCAAAAGTTTAAAGAAAACTTAAGCATGTGGCTCTGTTATCTAACTATCTTGGCTAACAAAAATGGCTTTTGGTTGCAAAACATCTGGCTGACTGACTATGTGGTTTCCATGGCAGTATTATACTGAATCGTTAGAATTCTAGCAATCTGTTTTTTTGAGATAGAGAGAAGAAAAATCAAAATTTAAAGATCATGAGTGCATTGATGATGTGGAGGATTAAAAACATGGCATACTGTATTAGAAGTCCTAAATTCTCTCTATTTTTAATAGATTTTGTGATTTTGTGGAATCAATTCACAGTTCTCCTTTATTAGTAGTAAATCTTAATTCTTTTAGTCACTCAACTGGCTAAGAAACAATGCTGTGAGCAAAAGAAGAGACAGGTTCTAAGATAGGGGTTGGGGTGGTAGAAGGCAGTCTAGTACGTATAGTGGTTAGAATGCTGGATAAGAGACCTGGATTCAAATCCTGCTTTGATGATGAAATTCAATGGGTGACCTTGGTTAAGTCCTCTTCTCAGCCTGACCTCACAGGGTTGCTGGTAGGATGATAAAAAGGGGAAGGAAAAGAACCACATATGCCACCTTCAGCTCAGTGGAGGAATTTATTACATAGCAACTGGTGGCAGCACCAAAGATAACCATGTGTTTTAACCCAGTACACCAACATATGTAATCCATGTAGATGTTCAAACTGATATAACAAAGGACAACACATCAAACCCCATTTCCTTTTGATGAGAATTATTGGCATCCCAGCCTACCATCCTGTCTTACATCTTGAGGCCTGCTTCTTCCTTATGATCTTCTGGGATTTCTTGGGTGCCTTCTTTCCCCCTGATGTGTCTTATCCCATTAAGTAAAATTTATCAGATAATCTTGCAGGCAGGATTGTAACATGAAGCACAAAGGCTGAAGAAAGAAATAGTCTGCCTTGTCTGTTTGCCTTGGAAATACACCAGTAAAACACGGTTACTTTCAGTTTAATACATTTTGCACTTAATTAAGTCACCTTGAGTGCACATTGGCAAAAATGCAACATACACATGTTCAAAGAAACATAAAAGAAATATATTTGAGTTTGTGGTGATGTGCAAAAAACCCGATTTTCCATGCAGCAGGTATCTGATGTATTTTGTCAGGATCCAACATCCCTAAATATAAAACACAGATGCCACATGTTCCTTTATCCAGAAGTACTAAATGCTCATGAACATCATACAGGTGTAAAAGCATACTGAACCTTTACTGGTGGGATTGAGTAACTCTATATCATTGCTTCCCAGTCTTGGGTCCTCAGATATTCCTGGACTACAACTCCCAGAAATGCTGGCCAGTACAGCAAGTGGTGAAGGCTTCTTGGAATTTTAGTCCAAGAACATCTAGGGACCCAAGGTTGGGAAAGACTGCTCTATGACTGACCCACACCTTTTAAAGACACCCCCCTCATCATCCTTCTAACATTCTAGGAGCGCAGAAGGAAAAGGAGCTATCCAGCTTAAATACAGGGCAGAACCCTTATGCCCCACCCAGTGCTCGTCCCTATAAAGCAGATCAAATCTAACATTACTTTTGGCCCACTTTAGGCACCTTAAAGCCAGCTCCAAGGCAAGCTGTGTGGGACTAGTACTAAAGAGACAAAGGTTTGAACCCCTACTTGGCCACAGGGTGACCTTGGACCAGTCCCCATTCCTCGCTAAAGGTAACCTCCCTCCCAGGCTTGTCCCGAAGCTGAACAGTTGTGCAAGGTGTTAAGAGCTCCTTGGAGGAAATGAGGGAGATAAAAGTAACAGCTTTAACAACCTTAAGGAGCATTAATGGGTAGTAAGTATTTGTTTCTCAGAAAATCTTGTCTCGGATGGTACCCTACAGTTCTTGATCCGGAGCATCCGTGTCGATGCAGCCTGTAGGGACCAAAGGAAGCATCAGCAGCACCAGTGTAACCAGGTCGACAGGCGCCACTTCGCGGCAGCAATTCAAGCAGGGAGGGAAGTTAGAATAAGTTAGCTAACATCAGGAGCTCAGTATTTTACTGATCTAATATTCTGAGAGTTTTTTTTAAAAAAAAAGATATCAGAAAGGGAACGATCTTTTGCTTAAGCATCTCAGGAGACGCCCTCAGGCCGTCGGGGGATTCTTACTCGCCGTTTAGCGACCTCGGGAGGGAGCCCAGCGGCGAGGCAGACCGACCCGCTCTTTCCCTCACCCGACGGGGCGACTACTCACGTAGAGCGCCGTGTGCGCCGCGCCGAAGAAGGGGAACTTCACGGCGATGGGCCGGAGCCCGGAGCCGCCGTCGTCTTGCTGCGGGGTGGCCGCGTCCCCGTGCGCCGGCCCGAAGGGGTAGAAGTCAGCCAGGGGCACGGCGCCCTTCGCCCGCTTTGGAACCATACATATAGTTTTTCCCAACATTTCTGGTGGTTCTTTTTCCTTCTTTCATCTAGCCATTCTGATAATTTGTCCATTTCTGCAGTTTCAAAAGTTTTGGCTCTCAGTTCCTCCATGTCCATAAACTTCCCCGCCCTTGGCTCGGCGGTGGGACCGCGCCGGGTGCCGGGGCGCGAAGCGGACTCGGAGAGCGGGCGAGTGAGCAAGCGAGCGAGCGAGCACGAAGCAGTCGGCGTCAGAGGCAGCAGCAGCAGCAGCTGAGGGACCCGCACGCACACTGAGCCTCTCTGTGCGGCGCCGAGGGAGGGGACAGCGGCTCATTCACACAGGTCAGGACATACATATTCATACCCTGGTCGGCCAATTAGGACGGGACGTGGAGGAGGCGGCCGCCGGAGGTTAGGGGCGGGCTTAGGCACTTCACTCGCCTCTTAAAGCTCTAAGAAGACCGGGAGGGATAGCCAGGCGAAGGGCTCCGGGCTCCCGAGGTGGTGGCGGCAGCAGAGTGCGTGGCAGGCCGGCGGGCAGGCGGGCGGGCGAGCGGGCAGGCAGGCTGGCTGGCGAGCGAGCGAGCGAAGTTAGGTCGCTAGGCTAGGGTGTCACGCGTGGCAGAGACCGAGCGAGCGAGCTTTGCCGGACTCCCTGGGAGATATGACTGAGTAACGAGGAAGCCAGTGCGTCACATCGGCTGCTTGCAGGCCTAGTAAGCAAAAGGGCTGTGCTGTAAATAAAGATACTCCTCTTCGGTGTTATTATTTAAAGGGAAGGGACCGTGGCTGTCAAAGATACCCAGCTCAAGTTGGTGGAATCTCCAGGCAGGGCTGGTAAAGACCCCCGTTTTAAGTTCTGGAGAGCCGCTGCCAGTTAGAGAAGGCAATGCTGAGAGGGACCGAAAGTTGGCCTGAGAGGCTGAGAAAGCATAGGGTGGTTGTAGTGGTTTTAAAGCGTTGGCGTAGAACATTGATGGCAAACCTTTGGAAGTCCAGATATTTTGGACTACATCGTTCATAGCCCTTTATCGCTGGCAATACAGGCTGGGGATTCTGGGAGTTGTAGTCCAAAATATGTCAAAGACTCACCCCCCCCTCCTCAAACCCCATCTAGGACTTGAGAGAGATCCTAATTTAGGTCTCCAAAGAGCCATGAAATCCATTGGGTGACATGGGCCAGTCATTCTGAGGACCTGGCCTCTTTCAGTCAAGTTATTGAGAGGATAAATTGTGGAGGAGGAAACCCAGTCTGGGGGAAAAAATCACACTGCTTCCTATGGAGTTCACATGCTTCCACTAGCTTGGTAAACGCAGCTGCACAGATATGCCTTCAGTTATCACACCGTAACTCCAGGTATTGAAATGATTTCTAAAACTAACTCTCCAGATCAAGCTAGGTGACTTTGTTGAGGTCCACCTGTAACAGCATCCTGGCACAGTTAAGTTAGGTGTTGGTGGGGGGAGGGAAGAGACCTTCCTGATGAAATAAACAAATAAAGGAGAGGATTTTGTTTTAGTGGGCACAGTTAAGTTAGGTGTTGGTGGGGGGAAGGAAGATACCTTCCTGATGAAATAAACAAAGGAGAGGATTTTGTTTTAGTGATCACATTGCAAGTCTGTTCAGTAGGCCAGGCTATGGCAGATCATAGTGAATGGGACGGACAAAGTTCATTTTGCTCTCTTCACCTGTCATCAAATCCAATAGATTCTGAGAAAGGGACTCCATTGGTAATATGCTCCCATATGCTGACTCAGACTATTGGCTATGCACTGTTCATACAGACTGCCAGCAGCTTTCTGGAGTTTTTGCACAGAATCTTTCCTAGCTTTATCTGGAGGTGCCAGGGGTTAAGACCTTCTGCAAGTAAAGTGTGTGCTCTGCCACTCAGCTACGAATCATTCCCTTCAGATGGATGGGTGTAAACTGTAGATAATGTGGATGATTCCTTCTGTTTATAGCTATTTCTCTTCCCTAATGATGAGTTTTATCATTTTTTTACTGGTTCATGGAAAGCATTTTTTACTCTGGTATTCTAATAAACTTTAGAGAGTTGCTTAAATACCAACTCATATTCCAGAATCCTGATATACAGTATAGCGGGGGTCTCAAAGATGTGGCCCGGGGGCCATTTGCAGCCTGCCGGATGATAGTTTGTGGCCCCTGCCTTGCCTTCCCCCCTGAAGTGCCCACATGTCCTCTGCTGTCAAGAGTCAAAAAAGCCTTGCCTCACTCGCCGGCTGTATCCCAAAACAGTGCCTCTTGCACCCTCCATCCGGAACTGCAGCCTGCCAGCCATCCCGCCTGAGTGTGCCTTTTTTTTGAGGTGGGGCCCTCAGAGGAAGGTTGCTGGATCTCCGTGTGTGTGTGTGTACGCACACGCAGGTTCAGGTGTCTGTATGGTTAGCCAGAACTGATAGGTTCAGGGTCTGTGCTTTATTTAAAGGTGTTCTGAGTGAACCAAACTGGTGTATGCATGATTGAGACTAAGCCACGTTACTGTATCTTATTCACTTGATCATTTTATTTTCCCTGTGTGTTCTTTAAATAAACCTTATTCTTTTATTTGTTAAAAATCCATTCCTGGTCTGTGTGACTCCTTACAGGGAATGGTTGGTGGCAGCTTAGTGAAACTGTGGCATATCCCAGTAGGTCTGGGTTTGTCACAGTGCCCTCCTCCCCCCGCCCGTGCTCCCTTCCTTCTCCGCTTCTTCATCCTGCTGTTGCTGGTGGTGGTGGTAGTGAAGAAGGAGCCGGAGGGGGTCGTGGCTGGCGACGAGGGCTTGCGCACCCCTCCTTCTCCTCCTCGGAGCCCCTCGGGCTCTTGCTCTGCTTGGCGGAAAATCTGATGCAGCCCAGCCTCACCCAGACTCTGCCTCCAGCGGCCCCCAGGTAAATTGAGTTTGAGACCCCTGCAGTATAGGAACTATCAATAAGGCAACACTGTTACAGGATTCAGTGATGATAGGCACCACAATGTCAAGGGTTTCTTTCCTTGCTCAGCTTCCAGATGATTACTGCCACCACCTGCCAGCAATGGTCTTCTACTTAGGGCACATCCTGTACAAAGAATAAATGAACACAAATCCAACAACAGGAGGGCTAAAAAATTGAAACTGTAATGGTGGGGGTGAACTTTTCAACCTCCCATGCATATGAATACCTTCATGCTTGTTCTCTGATTTAAATGGAATTTCGTAAGTGGGTGTACGAAGTATTGGTATGGCAAAGTTAACAAAGAAAGCAAAAAAGGAAAGGAAATAAAATAAAATAAAAGGATTACAGCGTGTATACTCATTTTTAAATTTATGGATATGTACACTGTGCTGCAAATACAGCAAAGCTGTGTAGCCTTGGGCAAGCTGCATGATCCTAGGATGCCTGCAGAAGAAGCTAATGCTAAATCACTTCTGAATATACTCTGCTTAGAAAACCCTGCAAAGGGACACCGTATGTCAGAATTAACTGGATGGCACACAATTATTATTAATAAAAAACAAGTCAGTCCCTGTTTTCTGAATTAATCACCAACTGCTACAACAGGAAAAAAAAGGCTGTGGAGGAAACAGGAAAAGCAACATATTCAGCCACCAGTTCTGTGTTGCAAAGTCCTTACTAGCAGACTAATGGCCTAGTGACCCAAAGTTCCTGGAAGGTCAGAAGCTGATGGCCTTATCATTGGGGATGGGACTTGATCTGCTCTGCTGGACTTTCTCATAACCTCTTGATGTCAGTTCCATTATGTGACAGCTAAGGCTCAGAAGTATGTACAGCTATACCCCTATATCTGCTGGTGATTGGTTTCAAGCCCCCTGTGGATAATGGAAACTGTGGATAATAGTGAACACACTTTCCCTCCCTACCTCCTTTCCTTCCTCTCACTCTTCCTCCCCCCTCTCTCATATGGTAAAATAATATTTTTTTCACATACCAGAACTGGGCACTCGAGACCATGCTATATATTCTTAGAATGAGGATTGTTTTATTTACCCTGTTTGTATTTAAAATAAACCTTATTCTTTTGTTGTTTAAAAATCCATCCCTGGTCTGTGTGACTTATTATAGGGAATGGTTGGTGGCAGCTTAGTAACTGTGTGATAGATCCCAGTAGGTCTGGGTTTGTCACAGTTCCATTGCCATTCTGCTCTAACATTAAGGCAGTTTTTCCTGATTTTCAACTGAAATCTGCTTTCCTGGAACATGAGCCCATTGTTGTGTGTCTTGCACCCTGGGATGATTGAGAACAGATCCTGCTCCTCCTCTGGATGACAACCTTTCAAGTATTTGAAAAGCGTTGTCATAATACTCATCTGTCTTCTTTTCTCAAGGCTAAATATGCCCCACTCTTTCAATCTTTCCTCATAGGGCTTGGGTTCCAGCCCCTGATCATCCTTGTTGTCCTCCTCTGAATTTGTTCCAATTTGTCAGCATCCTTCTTGAAGTGTGGTGTTCAGTTTTTCATTAACAAGTATTTATAACACAGTCTCTGGCTCCATCCAGTAGCCTGTTCTGGTAGTGCATGTGAAAATAATTTTTTCTGATTTTTTTCTTTTAATATATTTTATATTTTCCACCCATGGATAAGTGAAACCATGGATACTGATACCATGGATACAGAAATTCTACTGTAGATAACAACCCCACTTCCCTTGCACATTCTGCTGCTTTCCCTTATAGAAATTTGGGTCAGATTTGGTGTAACAGGATTAATCTTTAGCCGGGGGGGGGCACTAGTGGTGAAGGCGGGAAAAAGAGTTGGAGGGTGGTCTGAACCTTCAACAATAACTTCTTTATTTTTAACCATGCTAAGTTCCACGGAATCGAACGGATCCAATAAATCTACTTCAGGTAACAAGTTGTACTTCTTTACTTTAACATTAGGTAATAAAACATCGTTCTTCAGAATGGAGTCAGGCCAAAAAGTTCTCGATCGGTTAATGGTCTCAGGGGGGCACTCCGCACCGCGCACACCGTGCCACAGCACGGGTGGTGGGCCCAATCTCCCTCCAGAGGCT